CCATTTTCAATTTATTGTTGTATATAGTGTAAGGAAGTAGTCTATGGAGTTTCAATTTTTTTTTTTTTTTTGCAGATATTTGTTCAGTTATCCCAACACCATTTATTCAAGATACTGTCCTTGCCCCATTTGTATATTCTAGCCTATTTTTTCATGAAGTAATTGACCTAATGTAAATGACATAAAGTCATAGGTTTATTTTTGGGCTCTATTCTACTCCATTGATTTATATGTCTGTTTTTATGCCAGTATCATTCTGTTCTCATTACTATAGCCTTCTAGTATCGTTTAACATACTCAAGATTGCTGTGGCTATTTGGGAACTTTTGTGGTTCCATATAAGTTTTAGATTATTTGTTCTAGTTCTGTGAAAAATGTCATTGGTATTTTGTTAGGGGTTGCATTGAATGTATAGATTGCTTTAAGTAGTATGGACATTTTAACAATATTAATTCTTTCTACCCATGAACACAGTATATCCTTCTTGCTGTATAAAAATGCAACCAATTTTTGAATATTAATTTTGCATTTGCTACTTTACTGAATTTATCAGTTCTATTAGTTTTTTGGGGGTGTAGAATCTTTAGGGTTCTCTATATGTAGTGTCTTGTCATCTGAAAATGATGACAGTTTTACATCTTCCTTTCCTATTTGAATACTTTTTACTTCTTTTTTGTATCTGAGAGCTGTGGCTAGGACTTCCAATATGTGTTGAATAAAAGTGGTAAAAGTGGACATTTTTGTTCATGGTCTTAAGGAAGATACTTTCTGGTTTTTCTACTTGAGTATGATGTTAGCTGTGGGTTTGTCATACATGGGCTTTATTATGTTGAGGTATGTTCCCTCTATTTTCACCTTGCTGAGTATTTTTATCACAAATGGATGCTGGATTTTGTCATATGCTTTTACTGCATCTGTTGATATGATCATGTGGTTTTCATCCTTCATTTTTTTATGTGTTGTAGCATGGTAATTGATTGTGGCCATTGAACCAACTTTGCATCCCAGGAATAAATCCTACATGATCAATGATGTATGACCTTTTTAATGTATTGCTTAATTAGTTTGCTAATACTTTGTTAGTGATTTTTTTTATGGGCACATATATATTTTTTTCTTTTTGTAACATCTTTGTCTGGCTTTGGTATAGGGTAATGAAGACCTGTACAATGAGCTTGGGAACCTTCCCTCCTTTGGAAATTTTTGGAATACTTTGAGAAGGATAGGTGTTAATTCTTCTTTGTTTGCTAAAAGCAACCACAAAGCCTTCCAGTTCAGCACTTTTGATTGCTGGGAGTTTTTTGTTTAGTGCTTCAGTTTTGTTGGTTGTAATAAGTCTGTTTAGATTTTTTTTTGTTTGTTTCTTCTTGATTCAATCTTGGAAGGTTGTAGGTTTCTAGGAATTTATCCATTTCTTTCAGAATGTTCAGTTTTTTGGCATATGTTTGTAGTATTTTTAATAAACCTTTTTATTTTTGTGGTATCTGTTGTCATGTCTCCTCTTTTATTTTTTATTTTATTTATGTGGGTCCTGTCCTTTTTTCTTGATTAGTTTACTTAAAGTTTTATCAATTTTTATCTTTTCTAAGAACCAGCTCTTGGTTTCATTCATCTTTTATAGATATTTATTTCATTTATTTCCACACTGATCTTTTCTCATTTTCTTTTTTCTTTCACTTTAGGCTTTGTTGTTCTTTTTCTATTTCCTTTAGTATAGGTCAGTTTTTTGAGATTCTTCTTGTTTCTTGAGGTAGGCTTGTACTGCTTTGAATCTACCTCTGAGAATTGCTTTTGTTGTGCCCCAAAGATTTTGGGTCATGGTGTGTTGATTTTCATTTTTCTCAAGGTATCTTTTTATTTCTTCCTTGATCTTATTGTTAACCCATTTACTGTATAGTAGTATCATGTTTTTTAGCCTCCCTGTATGTGTTTTTCAGTTTTTTTTCTTGTAATTAATTTCTGGTTTTATACCATTGTGGTTGGAGAAGATGCTGGATATGATTTTAATCTTTTAAAAATTTGTTGGACTTGTTTTGTGGCCTAACATGCGTTCTGTCTGGGAAAATGTTCCATGCGCACATGAAAAGAATGTATATTCTGCTCCTTGGGATGAAATGCTCTAAAAATATCAATCTGATCTAGTGTATCACTTAAGACCTCTGTTTCCTTGTTAATATTCTCTCTAGAAGATCTATTCATTGATGATAATGGTGTATTAAAGTGCCCTAATATAACTGTTACTGTCGACCTCTCCCTTTATGTCCATCAGTGTTTGCTTTATATATATTTAGGTGCTCATATGTTAGGTGTGTAAATGTTTACAGCAGAGTTATGGCATTTGTTTGATTGATCCCTTTATCATTATGAAATGTTCTTTATCTTTTTAAAAGTCAGTTTTGTCTGATATAGGTATTGCTACCCCAGTTTTTCTGTTTTTCATTTCCATTGGCATGAAATATCTTTTTCCATCTCTTTACTTTCCATCTGTGTGTGTCTTTTGGTCTGAAGTGGGTCTCATGTAGACAGTTTCTTATCCATTTAGCTACCCTATGTCTTTTCATTGGACTATTGAACCCATTTACATTTAAAGTGATTATTGATGCTTATATAGTTATTGCCCTTTTATTCATATTTATATTTTTTATTCTTCTTCTTGTTCTTAAATAAGTTTTTTTAACAGTTTTTGTAATACTGGTTTAGTGGCAATGAACTCCTTTAGTTTTTTTCTTGTCTGGAAAGCTCTTTCTCCCTCCTTCAATTTTAAATTATAGCCTTGCTTGGTGGAGTAATCTTGGTTATAGGTCTTTGCTTTTCAGCACTTTGAATATTTCTTGCGAGTGCCTTCTGGTTTAAATGTTTAGTTGAGAAATCACCTGACAGTCTTATGGTTGCTCTCTTGTAAGTAACTGCTTTTTTTTTGTTGTTGTTAATTTTAAGATTTTTTTCTTTGTCTTTAACTTTTGCCATTTTAATTATAATGTGTCTTGGTGTGGGCCTCTTTGGGTTCATCTTCTCAGGGACTCTGCTCTTTCCAGACCCTGTGTCTATTTCCTTCACCAGCTTAGGGAAGTTTTAATCATTATTTCTTCGAATAGGTTTTCCATCCCTTGTTCTCTTTCTTCTTCTAGTACCTCTGTTTTGCAAATGTTATTACAGTTGATAATTGCTCCAAGGTCCTTTAAACATATCCTCATTTTAAAATTCTTTTCTTTCTTTTTTTTTTTTTGCTGTTGGGATTGGGTATTTTCCGATACCTTGTCTTACACATGACTGATTCAGTCTTCTGCTTTATCTAATCTGCTGTTGATTTTCTCTAATATATTCATTTCAGTCATTATATTCTTCATTCTGGTTGGTTCTTTTTTTATGGTTCCTGTCTCTGTGTTGAAGTTCTCATTGGAATAATCTATTCTTCTCTAAGTTCACTGAGCATTCTTAAAACAAGTATTTTGAACTCTGCATCTAGTAAATTGCTTGTCTCTATTTTGTTTAGTCCTATTTCTGGAGCTTTTTTTCTTTTTCATTTGGGATGTGTTTCTTTGTCTCTTCATTTTGGCTGCTTTCCTGTGTTTATTTCTATTTATACGGTAGGTCTGCTATGTCGCCCAGTCTTGGTAGAGTGACCTTATATGGTTTGTGTCTGTGAGGCCCAGTGATGCAGTCTGTGTGGTCATCTGAGCCAGATGATTCACGAGTGTCTCTTGTGGTTGTTGTGTGTGCCCTCCTGTTATAGTTGAGCCCTGATTGGTGTGACATGTAAATGGGTGGGATTGATTCTCAGGCTGATTGGTGGTAAGGATTGTCCATGAGTACAATGGTTGAGCTGTTGTGCAGGGGCTCACACTATGTAGCAGGATTTGCTTTAGAGGGGCTCTGATAACTGCCATTTTTGCCCTTTGGGTGTGTTCTTTGTGGAGCTAATTGGGTAGTGCTTTGGTGTGGTCTGAAGCTGACCACTGGGTGTGTTGGTCTGAGGCCTCTTGGGAGAAGCTCCAGTGCAGGCCAAGGTCAGTCTCTGCCTGTGCCCTTCCTGGAGCCACTTGGTATGAGCTACAAAGTGATCTGCAGACATTTGCCATTTGCACTGGGCTTGTAGGTACCTGAGAGAGTCTAAGCTGGTAAACGAGACTGGCTGCCGCTAGAGCCTGGCTTGGGGCTATTGAGCAAGGCACGGGGGGACATGTTGAACCCAGATTCTGAGTTGTTTGGGATTTGTGAACATTTGAAAGGGTTCAAGAATGTCCTAAGCATGAGCTGCAACAAGATGTTTGTATGGGAAAGCTGCTCAAAGTGGCTTGAATGGGCATGCATGTTGAATGGGGTGAGGTCTCAGGGAATCACCAGGTCAGGGCAAACAGTTTTACCTGGTTGATTGAAACTTAGATATGGCACTGGCCTACGCCTGTAGTCTGGTTCATGGGAGTGCTCAACAAAGGAATAATCTCTTCTGCCAGTACTTCTGTCTGGAAGAAACCTGCACCTCCAGACCTTGCTCTAAGCCAGACAGTTCACTTCCTCTCTGTTTATCCTGGTTGTTTTCAAGCTGCTGCTTCTGTGATGGAGATGATAGCAAATGAGTCTGTCAACAAGCAAGTCTGTGTTTGGCCTCCGTAAAAGGAATGCTTAGGACTCTAGAAACCCTGTGTCTCACTCATCCACAATCCTTACTAGTTTTCATAACCGGAAGTTATGGGGATATCTGTTCCTAGCACTAGAAGCCTCCACTGTGGAGCCTGGGAGGGACTGGGACTTTTTGCTCCTCAGGAGAGACCTCTCCAGCTGAGATATCAGTACCGGTTTTTCACTGCCACACATAACTATGGGACTAGCCCATTCCGTGTCTCTACTCCTTCTGCTAATGTCAGCGTGGCTGCTTATTTATATCCTTAGTTGTAGGACTTCCATTCAGCTGGACCTCAGGTATTTCTCTTTTCTCTCTCTCTCTCTCTCTCTTTTTTTTTTTTTTTGACTTACAAACAACAGAAATTTATTTCTCACAGTTCTGGAGGCTGGAAAGTCCAAGATCTTGCATGGTGCTGGCAGATTTGGTGTCTGGTGAGTACTCTCTGGTTCATAGATGGCACGTTCTCACTGTGTCTTCACATGGAGGAAGGAGCCAGGAAGCTCTCTGGGGTCTCTTTTTATAAGGACATTAGTTCCAATCATGAGGGCAGAGCACTCGCAAAAGCCTTCTGTTCAAATACCATCACATGGGGCCTTAGGATTTCAACATACGAATTGAGGGGAGACACAAACACACAGCAATTTCCAATAAAACACAAAAGTATAGGGACAGAAAGCAGTTCACCATATACCAGGGGCTAGGAATAAGGGTGGGGGATTTCCTGCAAGGAGGCAAGAGGGAACTTTTGGAATTACAGAAATGTTTTATATCTTCTTGATTTTGATTGTGGTGTTGGTTATATAACCGAATGCAATTGTCTAAGTTCATCAAAATGTACACTTAAAATGGGTAATTTTTTGGATCTAAATTATACCTCAATAAAGGTATAATTTTCTATTTAGTAATTATATATCAAACTTATTTATGTTGTTTTGATCAATTATGTACCATTAATCACTGTAATGTAATGCAATCTAGAAGGATTTTTTAAAATTTATTTATTTCCTTTTTAAATACATTTGTCTCTGCCTCCCCCCACCCCTTTCCCTTGCCCCCTCCCTCTTTCCCTCCCTCAGCTCTTCCCCTTTGGTTTTGTCCATGAGTCCTTGCTCTGTGTTCCTTGACTTCCCCTTCCCTTCCCTTTCCCTGTCCCCCCTTCCTCCTTCCCTCTTGTCTCTGTTGATTTCTTTTCCTTTCAGTGTTGCTGGTCATATTTTCCTTGCATCTTTGTATTGTTGGTTAGGTTCCGCTTATAGGCGAGATCATATGGTATTTGTCTTTCGCCCCCTAGCTTATTTCGCTTAGCATGATGCTCCCCAGTTTCATCCATGCTGTCGCAAAGTTTAGTAGTTCTTTTTTTCTTTCTGCTGCATAGTATTCCATTGTGTATATGTACCATAACTTTTTGATCCAATCATCTACTGATGGGCATTGAGGTTGCTTCCAACACTTGGCTATTGTAAATTGTGCTGCTATGAACATTGGGGTGCATAGGTTCTTTTGTATTGGCGTTTTGGTGTTCTCAGGGTATAGTCCCAGCAGGGGAATCGCTGGATCAAAAGGCAGTTCCATTTTCAGCTTTCTGAGGAAATTCCACACTGCTTTCCACAGTGGCTGCACCAGTCTGCATTCCCACTAACAGTGTACTAGGGTTCCCTTTTCTCCACAGCCTCGCCAGCACCTGTTGTTTGTGGATCTGTTTATGATGGCCATTCTGACCGGTGTGAGGTGGTACCTCCTGGTGGTTTTGATCTGCATTTCTCTGATGGCTAGTGATGCTGAGCATCCTTTCTAATGCCTCTGGGCGCTCTGTATCTCCTCCTTAGAAAAGCATCTGCCCAGGTCCTTTGCCCATTTTTTGATTGGACCGTTTGTCTTCTTGGAGTGGAGTCGAGTGAGTTCTTTATATATCTTGGAGATCAAACTTGTATCTGATGTATCATTAGCAAATATATTTTCCCATATGGTTGGCTCCCTTTTCATTTTGCTGATGTTTTCTTTAGCCGTACAGAAGCTTCTTATTTTGATGAGGTCCCACTTGTTTATTCTTTCCTTTATGTCCCTTGCTTTAGAAGACATAGCAGTGAAAAAATTGCTGCGTGGGATATCTGAGAGTTTCCTGCCAATGTTCTCCTCTAGGACTTTGATGGTGTTGCGACTTCTATTTAAGTCTTTTATCCATCTTGAGTTTATTTTTGTGCATGGTGTCAGCTGATGATGCAATTTCAATTTTTTGCATGTAGCCGTCCAGCTCTCCCAACACCATTTGTTGAAGAGGCTGTTATTGCTCCATTTTCTGCTTCTGCCCGCTTTGTCAAATATTAGATGTCCATAGAGACCTAGGCTTATTTCTGGGCTTTCTATTCTGTTCCACTGGTCTATGGGTCTGTTCTTGTCCCAGTACCAGATTGTTTTGAGTATAGAGGCTTTATAGTAGAGTTTGATGTCCGGTATTGTGATCCCTCCTACTTTGTGTTTCTTTCTCAAAATTGCTGCGGCTATTTGGGGTCATTTATGGTTCCATATAAATTTTTGAAATGTCTGTTCTATTTCTGTGAAATACGTCATTGGTATCTTAATAGGGATTGCGTTGAATCTATAACTTGCTTTGGGGAGTATGGACATTTTGATGATACTAATTCTTCCAATCCATGAGCACGGTATATGCTTCCATTTATTTGTGTCTTCCTTAATTTCTTTTTTCAATGTTGTATAGTTTTCTGCATACAGGTCTTTTACATCTTTGGTTAAATTTATCCCTAGGTACTTTATTTTTCTTTTTGCTATATCGAATGGTATTTTTTCTCTGATTTCTTCTTCTTCTATTGCATTGCTGGTGTACAAAAACGCCTTTGATTTCTGAATGTTGACTTTGTATCCTGCTGTTTTGCCAAATTCACTTATTAGGTTGAGGAGTTTTTTGGTAGAGTGTACAGGGTTCTCTATGTACACTATCATGTCATCTGCAAACAATGATAGTTTTACTTCCTCCTTTCCTATTTGGATGCCTTTTATCTCTTTCTCTTGTCTGACCACTGTGGCTAGGACTTCCAATACGATGTTGAAAAGAAGCGGTGAGAGTGCACATCCTTGTCGTGTTCCCGATCTTAGTGGGAAAGCTTTCAGTTTTTGCCCGTTGAGTATGATATTAGCTGTAGGTTTTTCATATATGGCCTTTATTACGTTGAGGAATGCCCCATTTATTCCCATTTTGCTGAGTGTTTTGATCATAAATGGGTGCTGTACCTTATCGAATGCTTTTTCTGCATCTATTGAGATGATCATGTGGTTTTTGTCTTTTCTTTGATTTATGTGATGTATCATGTTTACTGATTTGCGTATATTGAACCATCCCTGCATCCCTGGGATGAATCCCACTTGATCGTGGTGGATAATCTTTTCAGTGTATTGCTGGATGCGGTTTGCCAATATTTTGTTGAGGATTTTAGCATCTATGTTCATCAGCGAAATTGGCCTGTAGTTTTCTTTCTTTGTAGGTAGACTTCAGGTATTTCTCAGTGATGGTGGTTCTGTAGTTTAGTTGTAAGTTTGATACGGTCATGGGAGGAAGCAAGAACAGTGTTTATCTACTCTACCACATTGAATGGCAGCCCCCTAGTCATCAATTAATAATTTTGATGAAGTCCAGTTTATTGATTATGCTATTAATGTCATATAAAAGAAATCTTTGCCTAACTCTAGGTCACAAAAACTTTCTCCTATGCTTTCTCCTAGTTATATGGTTTTAGGTTTTACATTTAGATCTGTGACTCATTTTTAATTACTTCCTAATGGATGTGATATGTACCTTATTGTGAGTTTTTTGTTTTGTTTCCACTGCATTTATTACTAATATAAAAATTGTTAACAAGAAAAATTCATTTTCAGTCCTCTAATACCTCTTATCCCTCCCTCTTGCCGACACAGCTCCTTACTGTTTCCTCAGGGCCAGTCCAAAACTGAGCCTGTTCTGTGTTGTTTTCACAGAAAACAATCAATGCCAGAGGTATAGGGGAAGAAGGTTGGTAGAAAGCGACAGTACTCTCCAGGTTCCACGCAAAGATAGGCCACATGGAGATTCAGGAATTCAAACAAAAGGGTTTTTGGACTCACAGTGACATAGCTTAACTAAAATGGGTTATAGAAAGGATAGGATAGGCCCATCATAGGATTTAGAAGATATCTTAGGGTCTATGTCAAACCAACACCAGAAAAATAGGGAGGATCAGGGAAGCAGTCTTGCCTAAAGTCTCACAATTCTCTCATTTGGGGAGACAGAGAAAGAAATGCCACAGACCCTGGGAAAGAGTATGAGGGGATTCATGTACCACAAAACACAGTGATCATAGACCATAATGGTAGGGATTGTGCTAATGATGCAGTAACTGTTAAATCTAAAAGCAAGGAGAGTGACCTTTCAGGGAGTGACTCTGTACTAGTCACCCAAACTTGACTTTAGGTCAGATAGCCTGGTGAGTTTCACAGAGAAAGCTGACAACATTGGGGTAGAGGATATGACATTAAAAAAGTACTTAAAACATGCAACTAAAAGAAGGGAATGGTAGGAAACTGCTGCGGGGCTCAGGAATCGAGGGCATAACTGGGGGCTGGGTGGACAAATGCCTAAGAAACAGTACCAAATAAGTTCCCTGCTCAGCAGTCAGTTGGCAAGGGGGAAGAGGATCCAGAAGGCAGTTGAGGGGAGCAAGATGGGACCCTGAAGGTGAGTCTCTGCAGTGTGAGGAGAAGAAAGAGTGTTCACTGTGCAAGTGATAAAATATATCTCTGGACCCCAAATGGGAGTGGTAGTAGACTAGGGTGGGCATCACTGACTGGGGATAGAAGGTGGAACAGCCTCACAGTGGCCATCATAGGGCCACAGGGAAACATGTGGCCGCTAGGTCACAGAGAGCTCATTATAGCTTGGAGGGGAAGGCACAGTCTTACAGAGGAGCTCCATTGATGCCTGGATGGTAAAAAGCAGAGGTCCTCACACCAACAGCAACCCTTTTTGGCAAAGTGTTGGCAAACAGGATGGTCAGATTTGTCTTCCCTAACCTGTGGTTCATCCTTGGAGGTGGGGGGGGCAGGTATTCTCGACAAGTGATGAGGTTTTGAGCCTTTAAGGAAGTCTCTGTTCCTTGTGAAAACCTCCCCCAGAGGGACTACCAGGTCCTGATCTGGGAAAAGGAGACTCAGCATTGACCACCCCCCACTACCACCAACCACGATCATATGGGACAGAACTGGGGCCTACGCCTCCCCAGACTGGGTCTTTGCCCAGCAAGGAGGTTGGAGACGCAGCAGTAGTGAAGTCATCAGTCACCTTTATCCTGAAGGACCTCTGTGAAGAGAGTCTGCATTCTTTTGTGTCTGTTTTCTTTTATTCAATATCATGTTTGTGGGATTCATTCAGGTTGCCTGCAGCAGG